TGGCCGTGCCCACCCCGCCCCCCCCCCCCCCCGAGTCCCATTTAACCGGTTAACTGGTTAAACAGGATTTTCCATCCCCACTCTGTGTATGTCTATAAGTAAACATTGTAGGTATGCTTGTAGGTAAGGTGCTAGTAGCTGGCACCCAAGGTTATGTAGCCTAGGGCCCAGAATTTTAGACAACTGAAACATGCCCTGTAAAGGGTTTCCTCTATGCAAGTCATTACAATTAGCTCTTGGCACAACAGCCCTATGAGTGACAAACCCTAAGGTACTGAAGTTAGATGATCGGCCAGTCTCTGGCCTCCCCAGTGCAGACAGGTATGTTGGCTGCATCAGCACGCCTAGTTCTCAATGGGGGTTGAGGGCAGAGTTAAGGGTGTGCCATAGGGATTCTCAAGCCAAAGCACTGAATCCCTGTATGTTTCCTTGTAATGTTCGTTAACTTCCCCAGCAGTCACCTTTTAGTAAGGAAAGACCAACTGGCTGACTCTAGTTTGCTTTTAGAGTATCACTATTTACAGAGGTGCTTAAAATTAAAATCTTAATTCTAATCCTAGGTCCAGGTAACTTCAGCCTTTGGAATGGTTTTATTGCCGTGGGATCCTGGGCTCTAGTTTTAGGGAAAGTGGCCTGACAAAACCTGCACCGAGTGTAGGAGAGGAAAGGCTAGCAGGCCCCTTCATTCAGCCCTTGCCGCTACTCTCCTGAGGCAATTGAGGGCAAAGCATCACACTCAGAAGAGGAGGCCTGGCTGTTGTGCTGGCTGCAGGGAGAGAGGCCGGCACCCCAGCATCCTCAGGTGGATGCTACGTGGCCCAGTAGTAAAGGAGAGGAAAAGGCCGCTGCCCCTGCTGCTTCTTGTCCAGAGCAGACACCTCTTTCGACCTCAATTCACCGCTCCAGCCCTGGGCCCTCAGATCCATCTCCCTCCCTGGACCCTGAGGTGGGATGGTGCTGGGGGTAAAGAGGAAATCGGAGAGAGAGCATGGGGCAAGGAGGAACCAGTTCTCCAGCCTTCTGCTTGCGCTCTGCCCCTGAAGCATGGAGTCAGGTCTGGAGGGAACAAGGCATAGGTGAGATGGCTGGCCACCGGTGAGAGCACTGTTCTGGCAACACCTGGAGATCTGCAGCCAGGGCCTGTGTCAGCCTTTCTCCCAGCAGGGCCTTGTGGCTTGTGCAGAGGTACTAAGAGCATCTCTGCCCCCAGGGAAAGCCTGCTGTGTGAAAGGCAACTCAGTATTTTCACGTGCAGGGTAAGACTGCTGGTTATCTGCAGACACTCCCAGCCTGCACAAGTCACAGGAATCCTGGTCCAGAATGGCCCTTTCAAGCTTAGAGGAAGGTGGAAGGGACCCAAAATGGTCATCAGAAGGTCACCTCTCCTCCTCTTGAGTCCTTAAGACGAATAAATCTCACAGGGGAGCTTGGAGAGACCAAAGATATTAGGATCAGAGTCATCGGTCCTTCTCTGAGACGGAGGGAGACGCCAAGAGGGTCCTGAGCTTGACAAGGAGAGGGTGGGGTGGAGGAGCAATAAAATTAGAGGCTAGGACCAAATGGCCCAGGGCCAACTCCAGCTACAGAGTTTGTGTTTGAATGGCTCCCTCCCACTGCGTAAAGCACAGCCGGAATGAACTGCAGCCCTAGAACACACTAGTCGGCTCCAAAAATGACAAATTGAGTATTAAACCATTTAATTTTCAAACCACTCACATGCATAATGTTCTTTTACAGTGTTAAAAGAAAGAAAATGCAATTTGTTTAATACAAACAGAATTTCAAGTATACATTTATAGAATTTTTCAAAGGTTCCTAACCAAGTTGCTACGTTTTCATTCACATTGTTCTTAAAGCTGTTTGCTGAGAGCTTTTGCTAAACTGATTTAAATGTTGGTACAATTCTTTCTTCACCCTTATGCCTCAGCTCCTGGTCCTCTTGCTCCCTTTCCCTGTCAGCGCCACCAGTAATTAGTGCGGGCACTGGCCAGCCCTCACTAAGTGCTAGTGCAGGCTTGGGTCACAGAGAGGAAAGGAAGGTTCGAGGACCATTTTGGGAGAAGTGTGTAAAATCATTTAAGACCAGTTCTGAGCTTCACAAATTATACAGAGCAGGGGGCCCCTTCAACCTACTGCAGACTCAGTGGATATGTTACCTTTTTAAAATAACTCCAGCAACACCCCACCCCAAAATAATTAGTGCCGTTAGTACAGCATGAAACTTCCTACCTGTGGAAAAAGTCTCAAGGGTTAAGACAGATGTCCTTTCAGATTCATAGGTCAGCATTTTAAGGAGATGTCCGGATTTTTCTATTTTTGGTTGCTCTAAACACCAGGCAAAAACAGGGTCCGTGTGAGATGGAGAAAAATTGGACTTTAAAACCACAGACCTGACTAGGGCCACAGCTACACTAAACACCCAAGAACAGTCCTGAATAGCTGGGTGGGTGCAGATCTGCTGTACTAGAACTCGATGTAATGTCTGACCTGTTGCAGATGGGTATGAAACATGCTCTACAGCTGTAGCTTAGGCCCCAAGAATGCAACCACCTGTGCAGCAGTGGCTTCTCCTTTTTAAGTGTAGCCTAGGCCCCGATCTTGCACTAGGAGGGGCTGCTGAGGTAGGAGGTCGAGGTGCATTTGCTCCGGAGGCTGCAGCAGCCAAAGGTTTTTAGCAACATCCCTCCTTCCCAAACTCTCTTGCTAAAACGATCCAGCTGCGTGTACAAGCGGCTACAAAGCCAGCAACAGCCACACCCATCTCAAGATTTAAAGTGCTTTTTTTAGTAATGGGTTTTTTCCTTACAAGTAACTTAAAGTGCTGTTCTAATTTGAAAAGGG